GGAAGGAAGGAAGGAAGAAAGGAAGAAAGAAAGAAAGAAAGAAAGAAAGAAAGAAAGAAAGAAAGAAAGAAAGAAAGAAAGAAAGAAAGAAAGAAAGAAAGAAAGAAAGAAAGAAAAAGGGTGGTGGTGGTAGTGGAGAATGAGCATATGGGCAAAGAGCTGAATTATCTTAGATTTAAACCCATTCCAGCACACGGACCCAGCCACAATGCTAACATAAAACTAGGCCACGGACAGCGTAGTAGTTTCCTAAATTGTTAAGGTGGGAGGGTTTGGATTAAGGACAGCTTCAGCTGGCAGTGTCTGCTGATCTGGCCATAGATCATTTTGGCTAATTAGGATTGTACTCTGAGCAGACTGACTGAGAACAAGCTTGCAGTTTTTTCATGTTCTTTGTTGGAAACAATGAAGTGAAGTAAACTGAAGCCAACCTTACCAATATTTTTATTCATATGCGAATACATTCTTAGTAAATTTGATGTGAACTGACAGAACACATGTTTATGTGGTAAGAGGCTGAAAGTTCATTTAACATTTCTAGTGAAAACCAGATAACATCATCCAAGAGCTGATCATAATAAACTGATTAACACAAATGCTCAGGGGAGACGGACTTTTGTTGTTGTTGTTGTTTTTTTAATTTTATTTTCAAAACTATTGGGTAATGGGGAAGGAATACAAAAGGCAAAGGGCAGTGTGGGGGGGGGATGGAAAAAGGGTTTTGAGAATAAGAAAACATCCAGTGCATATCATTCAATCTTTCATATCAAGTATATAAACATCTAATCTATTCATGTTCCAATAAAGGTTCATCTTTCGGGGGGAATGGAAAAAGGGTTTTGAGAATAAGAAAACATCAAGTGCTTAATCATTCAATCTTTCATATCAAGTATATAAACATCTAATCTATTCATGTTCCAATAAAGGTTCATCTTTCTTCTTCTTTTTCTTCTTCTTCTTTTGACTATTTTGTCTATGTATTAACCTCTTTAGCTTTCAACTTATACGTGTAATACAGCTTAAATCTATGTTATTCCCACAGCATCAGAACACCAAGGCCAATTGTGAAATATATCCCCTCTTTCACCCTCCTTTTTTCTTGAGAATACACTCAACAGACCCAAAATAATATAAATTCTGCTCTCCCCTCCCCTTTCCTCCCTGTGCTTGTTTTGTTTCTGCGACTCTTTTTTCTTCCATATTTTAAAAGGGGGAACAATATCGTTCAAAGTTTGCTTTTCAACCTCAATTTTCTTATCTGCTATCGCTACATCGCTTACTGGGTGGCCCTCCATCCCTTGTATATTATCTGATATCTTCATCAATACAACCGGTTCTGAGATCTCTTTTTGGTGTAATTTAACCTCCGCTACCTTCCCTCCCCTAGAGCCTCCAATCACGTCTGCCATCTGGTCAATATAATAATTTACCTGCATGAATTTTTGCAACAGTGACATCTGAAAAGAGGTTTTCCAGTCTAGCCACCGATCTGTAATTTTCTCAGGGGGAGGTTCCATTTTCTGTTTCAACTATTTTCACTTAAAATTCCCTCTCCCCTTTACCCCAATACACATCCAATATTTCTAATATTTCACCTTGCAACTATACAACTTAGTTGCACAGTACAACTATTTTGACAGCTTCACTAAATGGGTGTTTTCGGGACCATTTTTCGCAAGATGCCGATTTTGACAGCTGATCGAGGGTTCATGAAATGGTTTCCCTATGGGCGATCTTCACTGAATGACAACAATTCTTCCCCATTGGAACGCATTCAACGGATTTCAATGCATTCCAGTGGGGAATCATGCTTCGCTAAACGATGTTTTCACAAGATAGCGATTTTAACAGAATGGATTAACATCATTTAGCGAGGCACCACTGTATGTCATGACACATCATGCTTTTTTTTAAGGCTAGAGAGGGTGAGCTGAACTATGTAGTATATTCCCGGGAAACCATCTCCTAGCTCCAGTGTATCAATATCGTGTTGCCAAAACTGCTTCCAGCATGCAAAATCAGTTCTGGAGGGATGTATTTTCAGAGTAAGAGGAACATTCACTCTTTTTTCTCTTTGCATAGCCTTTCTCCTTACAAAGAAGGAGAATTTTGCTTTCTTTTTCTGCTCTGTAGTCTTCGTCTGTGCTGGTGTGAATTTCCAGAAGAAAGAAAAATCGAGTTGCTGCCCAATCTTCTAACTTCTGTAGCTCACCAACTGCTGCAGAAGGGTCTCTCCTGACTCTTCCATGCCCCCCCCCATTTCTGGGAGGGTCCCAGACCGAAGTGGTTCTAGCTTTTCCCGGGAGCTATTCCCGAGAGCTGCTAGCTTCACCAAGATGAAGCTCCTCCTCCGACTTTTGTTGTTGTTGTGAGGCGGTCATACTTTTTGTTTTGTTTTAATTTTTGGACATATGCATTTCCTTCAGTAACAGGCAGATTTTGAAACTTTCCTTCTTTTTCACGCACTAAGGAAAAGACATTGTACATTCTAAACTTTGAAAAAAAAGATGCAAAACAAATGACAAAATACATGGCTTGTTGGTCTGGGATTGTTGCAGCTAACATTCTTGATTGGAGTAAGTGACCTAGTGGCTTGCTTCCTAACCACCACTAAAGCAATGAAGTAAATCCCCTGGTATAGTTAGAACTAGTAATACTGAATTCCTTCTCATTGAGCTTTTCCATTTCCCTGGTTTTGGACTTTGTTGCTTTCAATAAGGATGTGTAAGTAGAAAAGATTCAAATTTTCCACTCCTGAAATGACAGCTATTTGTTTCACACACTCCCTATGGGAATGTCTCCAAATGCCGTAAACTATTTGCAACAAGTACTTGTGAAGTTTATACAGAGAGGAAATAATCATGACTCACCAATACTGTTTTATTTTTTTTTAAATATATCACACTAATGGGTGTTTGGGGACCCCCAGCCTCTCTTGTTATCATGCAACCTATCGAATTAGACAACTGTTCAGAATCAGTGACCTTAATATGGAATGCTCAGGGCTGATCTTAGAAATGCAAAGATCGAAAATGGAAAAATTATATGGCCTTTCTTTTCCACTATTTGGACCATTTCTAAAACCTGTTCTTAACTTTTAATAGTCCAAAGTATACTGTAGCTGGTATTCCTGAAAAGCAAAGATTTTAAATATCTTGAGATCATAGTTTTCAAGTATGGATTTGATTAAGAGGGAGGACTGAGGCATATGATCACTTCCGTGACTTTGATTACGCTAATGTAATAAGGGTGTCACAAAGAAAGGTAGGTTGGGGAAGCTATAAATTGAGCCGGATATTATTAATTGCCTTCTGTCCATCTATTCTTTAATAAAGATAATACTTGCTCCTTGGGTCTTTGATTATTCTTAATAGTTCAAATGTTAGTTATTCCACTAAGGCTATTAAAATAGCTTTTGATCTCAAGGATCCAGGTGCCACATAATACTCTTTTAGTTTTGTTCTTATGAGCAGAGGGGCAGGATCATTCCTGTTTCTTATATCATGAAGCCACCTGGGTCCCCTTGAAGAAGATTTTTTGGATTGCTCATCTTTTAAGTGGAGTGCTAAATCATTTAACACATTAAGTGAACTGACTTACATGAGGTCATCTAGTAGAGGCTATGGGATGGGCTGCAGAAGTAGGAAACGACAGAAGAACCCAAGAGACTTCAAGTGTTATCTATGACACATAGTAGTGTAACACGTTCCAGCAACTGACCTTTGGTTTTAGCTTAAGGATTTAGACCCAA